ATTTGTAAGTCATGTTTTTTCCTGGACTTTTATACAAAACCATCGGAGTACTAAGGGAGTTAATTTAGGCAGTTGATTCTCCCTCAATTAGAAATGGTTTTGTTTTATGGCTACCGGGACCGGCATTCCTTGAAGACGTCGGCTTCGGTGGTCATTTTTTTATTTTTATTTCTTTTATTCATGACTGTTAGGTCATGCTCAGGTTTATGTATAGCCAGCGGTCTCTATGCTTATTCTGCAAATGGCACAAGACATCAGAAGAGAGAAAAGCCACAGTTTTATGGAAATGAAAAGCGTTTACGGTTTAATTTTTTAAAGTTTGAAAGCTTAATATGAACGCTACATTATTGGGGCTCATAAAAATATGCAAAAACTAAGAATAAGGCAGTGATTTTGATAATTTTTTACGAGTGGGAAAAATGTCGCCAAATTGCGATTTTTTTAAAAAAGTTTAATAACTTTTAAAATAGTTAGAAATATAGAAGTTCTTTGTTCGTTCGAAAGCCCAGATAATTCTTCACGACATGATGATATATATAATTTAAACTTGTAAACTTTGTTACAAGTATAAGGCATGTACATTTTTTTTAAAATTTTATTTATTTATTTATTTTTTTACTTTCTTTAGATCCATTTTTTACTGCAGAAGTTAACTCCTGCCTGATAGAGCATGATACTGGACCGTGCCGTGGATATTTCCCAAAGTTTTATTACGATGCCAGAACCGGACAATGCAAAGAATTCATCTATGGAGGATGCCAGGGCAATGGAAATAGATTTGATACAAAGGAAGAGTGCTTGAAGGAATGCAGTAGTATGCAAAAAATAGAGAAAAATATTGCTTTAAATAGTAATGTTGAAGTTTTGGATTATATTAATAATAATGATATTTCTAGCATTAATACTTTTGATTTCGAAAATTTGTATACAAGTATACCACATGGAAAGATTATTGAGATTTGTGACGGCATTTATGATAGGTATTTATTTAATGAGAAAATTGATAAATCTAATTGGTTGGATTTATATAAGTTTAATCTTTTTGAGAAGGTTCTTTTTAATGGTTTAGATTTTTATAAACAAATTATTGGAATTCCACAAGGTAATTCCTTTGCTGGGGCTTTTGCCAATATTTTTTTGCATTTTTTTGATGCCAAATTTCTTGAGCATAATGAATTTAAAGCTTTTAGATATATTGATGATTTGATTTTGTTTAATTGTGATAATAATAATTTTATTTATAGTATCTATCCTGGAGATTTGGTTTTGAGGAAAACTAATGAGATTGTTTAAATGTTGAATATTTAGATTTTAAAATTGATATCGTTAACAGTTTTATTAAAATTGTTGCTTTTGATAAAAGAAAAGCTTTAAAATTTAAAGTTATTTTTTTCTGCAACTTTAATACTAATTTGTGTAATAAAAATTTAGTTTTTTCACAATTGGTTAGGATCAAAAATATTTGCAATTATGCTGAAAGTTTTCGGGAAGCTGTGAAAAACGTTTTTGAATAATTTGAGTAATAATGATTTTCCTTTTAATTTTTGCAATATTAAATTTTCAATTAAGTAAAAGGTTGAAGAGTTCTAGGCTTTAATATATTTTTTTCTTTTAATAGGGCGCAATTCAAGTCCTGACTGAGCAGCCCCAGTTAAGCATTCTATTAATTTGTTAAGTCTCTCTTTCTTTTGACTTCTTTTATTTTCTATCTACGCATTGTAATAGAGGGTGTTGTTCTTTTAGCTTTTAGTGTTTCCTTTTCATTCGGCTTGCTTGTGAAATCGATGTTTGACCTGGTTAAGTGAGTTTTTATTTTCTGATGATTTTGTTTGAGTTTCTTTTCTAAATTGGTTATTTATATTTCATGTTTTTTTCCCGGACTTCTATACAAAACCATCGGGGTACTGAGGGAGTTAATTTAGGCATTTGCTTAGAAATGGATTTGTTTTATGGCTACCGGGGCCGGTACCCCCTGAAGATGTCGGCTTCGGTGGTCATATTTTTATTTTTTTATTTCCTTCGTTTCCTTTATTTTTATGCATGTATCTGGTGTAAAAAATGTAGTCCTATATGTTTCTTTTTTTAATAAAAAAGGAAACCTTCGAAATGTTCTTTAAAAAATTGCCACTTTGTCTTTTTTATGGCGAAACATAGTTTAAGTTCTCAGTAAATTTTAAATTTTCATTTCCAATGTTGATTCAAAAATTGCGAGATTTCAAAAATTGCATTCTTTGTGAAGTTTTGTGAACAATTGCGGCTCTTATTGGCATCTTTTTATGCACTTTTTAATTGTCTAAATTGATGAAGTATTTACAAAATTATTT